CCCCAAATATAATCCACTCTACAACCCTCATTGCATACTCCTACGATAAAAATAATGCCCTAAAATATAATACTTTTAGACTATTCTCTCCCCCATAGATTTCAATGCCGTAAACATATTTCATCCAGTTTTTCTCAGTCTTACCCCCACCAAAAACTGTATTTTTAACTGTTATCTTCATTATTTCCTGTATGGAAATTACGAAATACCTATATGTAAGATGTTGTTGTTTTTGTATAGCTTATTTTCTTCATATAACAGCTCCTCATTAAAAAAAAATGTTTTTTCCATGTCAAAATTTAGCTCAAACCCTAGGATATTGTTTACAATTCTCTTATGTGCTCAGTGCAGACAATGCAGGTGTTTAAGATCCTGGTCTGACTCACAGACTAGTAAGTGATTTTGCATACACTGTCTAATGATGCCTAAGAATGCCCCCCAAATTCCTAGGTATTCCCAACCTACTGACTGGGAAAAAAACATTTGGCCAAACCATTTCAGACAAAGATCTCATATCAAAAGTTTACAGAATCCTACAGAGCCTCCATAAGAAAAAGACTGATAATTACAAAATGGGCAAAAACCATGGTAATACTTTTCTCAGAGGAAGATATTCAGATGAACAACAGACACATGAAGAAATGCTCCAAATCACCGGCAACAGGAAAGATGCAAATCAAAACCACAATGAGATACCATCTCACTCCAGTAGCAGCGGCAAAGTTTAAGAGGACAGCAAGTAAGAAATGTTGGAGAGGATGTGGAGAGATAGGAACTTTTATACATCGCAGGTGGGTTTGTAAAATGGCATAACCACTCTGGAAAGCAGTTTAACACTTCCTCAAAAAGCTGAACATAGAATTCCGTATGACCCAGCTATTCCATTGCTTGGAATATATACTCCCCAAAAATGAGAACTGAGGCACAAATGGAGATTTGCACACCAATGTTCATAGCAGTGTTATTCACCATTGCAAGAACATGAAAACAACCAAAACGCCCAACCACAATGGAATGGATTAAAAAATTATGGTACATTCACACAATGGAATACTAAGCAGCATTCAGGAGCAATGATTTTGTAAATTACTACCTAACTTGGGAAGGACTGGAGGGCATTATACTAAAAGAATTAACTTAGTCCCATAAGGACAAATATTGTATAAGGTCATTAGTGTAGAATGAGTATGAGAATCCAAGTGGGGAGAGGGTTGGAGCAGGGGGTGAGGATGGGCAGGGCTGGTTAATCATAGGGTCACATAAGTTGATGAGTAGAGGGAGGGGGTTAGTCTTAAGCAAATGGGAAAGATCTCGTCTGAAAAACAATGTATATGTACTTTGTAAATAAACCAGTATTAAAAAAAATAAGCTCATTAATATTTTTTTTTAAATTCTAAGTATCCCCTTACTATGGAAAGTCACACTGTGAGTCCCCAGAAAATCAAGACTAAGTTCCTGTCCTGTATCTCAGGAGGAAATACAGGAGGTTTTATCGTTAACTTATTCTAACTCTTCCAAAGTACTTCAACTTATGGGCATGTTAGTGAAAATGTTGGATAATTGGCAATAAAACTGGCATTTTGAGGAGGGCTGGAGAGGGTATAGCACTTGCTTACCTCTCATATCCAAGGAGGGCATTATTTAAATCTTCATTCACTTGAATTAATTCAACAGTGACATCTTCATTCTCCACTACCACCAGCAGGTCCATGATTCTCACCTGCATTTCTCGGCTCGTCTTATAAAGTTTCTGCCAAAAAAAATGAGAAAGATTTCTTCTTATATGAATACTCTACAAAAGAAACAATGGCACACTCAGCTGCATAAACCTATCATCACTCCACATGGAGCCATGATGGGAAACCACCCAAGTCTATCACTACAGACAATTCATCCTTCTTGACAGGAGGTTAGAAAATGATATATAGATTGAGCTATAAAATGGTATTTTCTTCTAAAAATGAAAACACATGTCAGAAGGTCAATTTAATAAACTGGATGATTTGGAAATAATATATGAGAACTGTAAATGCATTGCTTACTAGTAATGTTGGGACTGCAAATACTTATGCTCCAAATCAAGTTTCCTGATTGTTGTTGTTGTTGTTGTTGTTAAGTGCCATCGAGTCGCAGGAGACTCATAGCGAGCGACCCTATGAAGGAGAGTCCTCAACGCTTGGGTGCCTTTCATCCTCTCTCCAGGTTCATAGGGTTTCCCGAGGCAAGCTATTATGGAAGTGGATGCCACTCCTCCTTCCACGCTTGTTTAATCAGGGAGCTCCACCCCACTCTCAGTCTGCATTGGGTAGCCAACCATTAACACATTTGACACATCCGTGTCACAGGGTTCAGCCTCACAGCAACCACAAGCGACCGAGGCAACTTGTACACCAGGGCTATACGACCTAGAAGAATGTCTGAACAAAAACAATGAAAGATTGGCCTGAGGGCTGCGAACTAAAAGTCACTGACCTTTGTCTTGGTCACATCCTTTTCACTTCACTGGGGCAGCTGATCTCTCTCTTTCTCTCTCTCTTTCTCTTGATTAGATAAGGGAAAATTATAATACCTGCCAATCTACTTTAAAGGTTGAGTTAAAAAGCAAATGTGATGTATATACTGAGGAACTATAAAGCATCACATAAAACAAAATATTATTTTTAATCCACCAGATGCTCTGCCGGAGAAGGAGGCGCAATATCCTCCTGTACCAGTCAGATCTGATTTGACGGTACACGCACACAAAATAATAAAAAA